ACACACACACACACATATACACTAAAACATACAACACATAATGATAATTATAATAAGGGTTTCCATAGCAGTTTTCTAAACAAAGTAAGAAAGTTTTGTTAGCTACCTGCAGCTAAAGATAGCTATAAAGAAATATTCTTCTCTTGTAGTTCGTATACATTTCTAACTGGAAACCAAACTCACCAAACCTATACTGTATGTGCATTTACCTGTAATTGTTTTCCAGATTTCCAGATAGTTTTTTGTGTCCCTGTGCAAAAAGCAACTTAATCTGCAGTTTACAACACATTGTGGAAAGAAAGTGGAACAAATGAGCTGCTGATTATGTCAAATAACTGTTAAAATACAGTCTTGTAGTGCAAATCAAATCAGATTTTTACCTGTATTTGTGTTATTGTTTAAATCAAATTTCATCCGTTTTTGTAACGACTGTTGGACTGTCTCTCTCTTCACCTTGCCCCTCAGGTCCCTCGTCACTGGATGTCGGAGGACAGTAAGCACGTGCTGATCCAGATCCTGTGGGACAACCTCAAGCTGCACCAGGACCCCATCCAACCTCTCTACATCCTCTGGAACACATACAGTGAGTCAACCTCACTCTCTCTGTGTCTGCATAAAGACCAGTATAAAGACCAGTATAAAGACCAGTATAAAGACCAGTATAAAGACCAGTATAAAGACCAGTATAAAGACCATCAGGCAGTGAATGTGTGGATACAGCAGGAGTAATAATGAGAAAATAATGACAAATGTGTGGTTTTGTTGTCCTTCTTTATTGTGAGTGATTGAGAATAGACTCATATTCTTTCACTTAATTTTATATTAGTTTATGTGTCACTATGTGACTGCAACATTATGTATGTTGTGTATGAGTAATTATAACATTGGTTGTATACATATATGTGTGTGTGTTGTTTTAGAGAGGTCAGGGGATGATGTGACAAAACCCTCTCTATGAACAGGTTATGAAACAGGCTTAGTGGATAAATCATGACGTACGTGAGGCAAGTTCTGTTCTAGAGTAATCACACGCGACTGGAGGATCAGCGCTACCTGCTGTTTATCCTGATGTGCACAACTCCTAATATTAAAATAACAGTAGTGGACGGAAACAAGCAATAATTGTCATTTTGTTTCTGCAGATATTTGGAAATTTGTTTAAAATTTGCACAAAATTTGAATTTAAACTTGACTAATGAAGACAAATACGCAGGAACTCCACCATTACAATAATTAAAAACCACTGTTAGATAAGAAAGTATGAGTGTTTACATCAAGTGTAAACCTTTTGTTACCCATTGGTGCGTGGAGTAACGCTTTGAAGCCTCAAGCCTGCATTATCGCCACCGCCATGTGGTGACAGGTTCGACTCATCCGTAGCAGGAAATGATAAAAACATCAGATATGCGTGGAGCGAGATCTGATGGATGAGGAGACTGAAACATTCCTCAAAAACAAATACATGTAACATTGTTCTCCACTGTTCAAGCTCTTTGAATGATGTCTGAAGGAGGCGCGGAGCCAGCCATCTAATCCTTGTGCTAACAGGCTCTGTCTGCTCTCTGTCTTCCAGGGCTTAATTGTACTCTGTTGTTAGAGAGTGAGTGTTCGTCTCTGCTGCAGACTCCCACAGATGAGTCGTGTTGTTTGTGTCCCGTGACTGTCTGAGGCCCGCTGTCCCCCTCTTTTGTGTTTTACTTTGCTTGATGCATTGCAGTGTCGTCTGTGGAAAGTCTGAAAACTCTTCATGGTTTCAGTGTCTCTGTGCGGTTTTCACACTGTTAACATGGAACGTGTTTGTCTCAAATACAGCCCCGCTCTGTATTTGAATGTGTTTCTCCGCTCGCTGACTGTTTCTTTTGTTTTTTTTTAATTCAGCAACTTTATAAGATGGACATTGTTGTCGTACTTAAAGGGCTGGGTACTGAATAGCAGCCACATCCTGCTGGTGCTCCTTAACTATCCATCATCTTTCAGTCACCAGGGATACAAATAGAAATACAATGTGGAACTATTAATATTAATAAGAATACAACTCACAATATCTCATTAACCTACTAAGGCTCATAGATCCACTAAGTTTATGTGTAAAGTTCTTATTAATTCATACTAACAATTGCTATTTACTAAATCAGGTTGCACCATTAAACTCAAGAAATGTTTTGATGTGTAGATTTCTTAAGGAACATCTGTATCAAAAACATTTGTTGATATAATGTATGTTTGTTTTATTTATTTCTGCATATGTGAAAATGTGTTTCAGTGTATGCATTAAAATGAGTGGGAAATATCTTATAACTAACGTATTGGTATATTTTAGGTGGATTTTGTGAAATCTAATTATTAAATAGTCAGATAATTATTGTTTTAGTTTATTTTTTATATTTATTCTTTACTTTAATAAAACTAAAATCTTATTTTATTTCATTTTATAAAATTGTTATCATAAAATAATAAAACTATCCATAAGTTAATGTTAAAACCTGTATAAAGTGGGAAACAGTATTATTTATACCTCACACTCTACTTCTAATTAGTGTATTTTACCAGTACTGGTTCTTTATTCCCCAGTACAGATACCCAGCCCCCCCAAGTACTTTTCATCTGAGTGGAAACCTGTTTGATGATTAAACCATCCTCATTTTCTATTACTGTTTTATGTCTTAAGCACTAATATAACGACTCCAGAGCTGAACTGTGTGTGTGTGTGTGTGTATTTTGGTAGACGTCGGTTACCCTCTGTCCCGACCGGTCTCGGAGGAGGAGAAGCCGTTCAGCGAGGAGTTACTGCAGAGCGTGGTGAAGAGCATCCAGAGGAACGACGTCAGCCGGCCGATGGCTCAGCTGCTGCAGCTGCTGGGCCAGACGCTCGGGGTCAAAAGGCAAAGGTCAGCACTGACATGTCGTATCAGGATTATTTCCTTTATTCAGCTGCAGAGTGGTCGCCGTTATGTAGAGGTTCTTCCACGTGTGTCGGCTCACATCAGTCAGTGTGTGTTTACTTAACCCCAAAACCCACCGGGCAGAGCTTTATCTGCTGCTTTAAACCTCACCGAGAGCGCTTCAGAAGCAGAGCGCCTTCAGAGCATGTTGACATCCCGGCGTTGTTAACTCGTAGATCCTTAAAAAGGATAAAAAATATGTGTTTCTCCGCTTCAAATAACCTGCCTCTGACTGATTACTTTTGGCCTTGGTGTCATAATGTTGATCTAATGTGAAATTTGATCTGGAGTCTGCATACGGTATTTTATTTTGAAAATTGACCAGATTTTCTATGTTTATGTGTCTGACTTCCTGTGATCTGCTCTGTTGCGTCATTATTCAAAAAATTTGAAGTACCTTTACTTTACTTTTTACCCCACTACACTCTTTTGATATATTTAGTTACTAGATACCCTACAGATTCTTACAAACATAACAAATGATTATAGATTCAGCTACAGAACAGTATATAAAGTAATTAAAATGATACATACATTAATCTATCAGTGATTATCATCCAATAATATACATTATTCTGAAATGAGCCATTCTGCATGAGTATAAATAAATAAATATAAATGTAATAATAATAATAATAGATTTAACATATGTTGTTATTTTGTTGTATTGAGTAAAAACATAAATTTAATTTCTGTTCAGAGAGGAAAGATGATGATGAAAATGTTTGAATTAGTTTTGACCTCCACTCTCTCTTGCTCCTCAGGAGTTTGTACAGGGACATCCTCTTCCTCTCCCTCGTGGCTCTGGGAAAAGATAACATTGATATTGGTGAGTCACACTTATTGTTAAAATTAATTCATATTAATTATTTTATTGATCACATGGTATATATGTTTTTATAATTTTACATCAGCTCAAGGGTTTCATTTTTGTTGACTTCTGAGATAAAAATGGAAATATTCTATAAGTTGCTAATAATTTAAGAATTTCATTTAAAACCTGCATTCACTGATTTTTGTAAGCATATAAGAAGTAAACACGTTGACATACAGTTTATTTACCCATCCAGCGGTTATGAAGCATTTGTGTGAATGCAAGTCCAATATTCACGCTACTTTTAGCTGTTTTTGAACTTCTGAAGGGAAATATTTGCCTCTTTAGCTCCTAAATGCTCCACTATGTTCACCAGCTAGCCACTAACGTCGTTGTTTGGTTGCTGAGAAGAAAATGTACTGTGGACTTTTTTGGAGCTTTTGGGCAGAAACAGCTGCCTGTTGCAAAAGGAAAGACCAATACAATGAGCGAAAAGACACTAAAATGCTAGAGAGCTGAGGGGAAATTGCAGAATTAGTCATTTGGTCTATTGACGATAGAAAAACATTGATTAGAAACTGTAAAAACTGAGAAAAAGACCTCTCTTCTTCCCTCAGACGCCTTTGATCGCGAGTACAAGCTGGCGTACGACCGCCTCGTGCCGAGCCTGGTGAAGCTGACCCATAACTGTGACCGTCCTCCAAGCACGGGGGTGATGGAGTGCCGCAGGACGTTTGGAGAGCCTTACCTGTGAAACGCTCACCTTCACATACCTGGAGTAACTGTCACCACACACGTCATATTGCTTTAAGACAAGCTCAGGAAACCTGTTGGAAGACTGTGAATGTGCACTACGGTAACATTTGGAGGAGAGAAAAAAAAAAAAAGGTACAGTTGACGGTGGTCAGCGATATTGTAGCCCATAACAACAACAAAGTTTTACAGACTTTATCTCAGCTAAGTGAAGATGGAATCACACTCACATCACTCATAAACACAACTTCATCCAGTGTTGTTGAGTGACGCTCACCTGGTGTCTCTGGAAACCCTGTGAACAATTATACAAATATTCTGTAAATACACCGCAATTAGAGGATTTTTTTTAAAATGCAACATTTATTTTGTATAGTCATACAGCATATGAAGACTAATACTAGCAATATTTTAACTTGAACTCTATTTATACAAAGTAAGCTTTATTTATTGTAGTGTCTTGTCCCGTGGTCGCTGTTGTCTCGCGGTTTAAACCAGAACCAGAAGTCCTGAACGCTCGCTGCTCGTTTCCAGCAGACTGGAAGAGATGTTGCAGTACGGATTTAGTGTCTGTTGTAAGTGATGACTAAGTGTTTCTGTGCTGTATGAGTTGGGGCATCACAAAAAACGATATTTAAATTAGAGCTGCAAGGATTAGTCGATACTCGTTATTCAACTGGCTTTAGCTTCTTAAATGTGAGGATTTGCTGTTTTTTGTCAGTATGATTGAATAATTGATTATTTACAGATTTCTGACAAAACAAGTAGATTTTCTCATTAACATTTCACAGATAAAACATTTAAAAAGGACCAGTGTGAAAGATTTAGTGGCATCTAGTGGCGAAGTTGCAGATTGCAGCTAACTGAACACCCCTCGTGTCTGTGTTTGACCACCTGGGAATGAAATATGCTGTGAAATGTGTAGGAGAAAACATGCACAGTTTGTCCCTTCGGGGCTACTGTAAAAACATGATGTAGAAATAAACGTCTCATTCTAAGGTAACAAAAACACAACAATTCTCATTCAGGTGATTATACACTAATAAAAACACACCTATGAATATTATATTGCCAATTCTGACAATCAGATCCTCTAAATGTTACCCACGGACCTTTTTATTAATCAATAAGGAAAATAATCAGCCCTAATTTAAATGTTTAAAAACCACTGTTTAAGCTGCCTTTAATGTTAGTCCACTATCTGAACATAAGTGTCCGCTGTGCTGCCACAACCAGTTACAATAGCGCTTTACATTTCATTTTAAGTTAGTTTACCAAACATTTATTTGCTATCATATGTTTTCTGCACCAGTTCATTAATGAAGCAAACGTCAGTGTTACTTTTGGTGGTCGACTGCTGGGATGAAGGGAAGCCGGCTGACAAACACACACACTTGTGATTATAAAGATGTAGTTTACGTGAATTTCTTTGGTTTTATGAGTTGAAAGATGAACTTAAGGTCGGGAGAAAACTCAATACAGTACGAACGGTTTGTCCTAAATATACAAAAGCTGTTCTAAAATAAATACAAATGAGATTCCAGCACTTTTCTGATAAATACTGTCAGGTAATTTAACATGTTTTGGCAGCCATGTTGGTTTAATTCACAAAAACTGCTTGCATTTCATAAAGGAATATGTATGCATGTATATGTATGAATATGTTTTTGCCATCATTTCTGTCAGTATATCATTGTACTCACCAAAAAGAAATAGCTGACACCGCTACGATGAAGTCAGACGGGTCAGAAGATGAATGTGTTTATCCAGATTATCTAAAATAAAACCTTTATTTGGAGGTAAAACATGATTTATTGGTAATAATCATCCATCACAGAGGAAAACTGTGCAGGAAAATGTTCTCAGAAAACAAAGCTTTACCTAGGCTGTCACTAATTATTCAGATAAACATGTAAATGTCTGTTTATGCTTTTGTTTTAACATCTGTGGTACAAAGAGTTAAATCTGCCTCTGTGACTGTAATGAACGACTTCAATCTCAGATCAAATGAAGGGTACAAACTCTTAATTATTTTTAGGTGGCTTCTATAATTTCTCTGAGGGGCATTTCTGAGACTTTATGATTGTTATTGTGTTGTTTTTATCAGATATCTGTGGATACACATTTGGATGTTCTGTAAAAAGCCCAGAGGGCAGCAGAGGAAGAGAAAATGCTTTAAATCTCCTCCGAGGTAACATCCGGTGTATGAAAGTCATATACCGGTTTTATCTCTGCCATTTAAATTAAAACCAAAAAGGGATTTCAGTGCCCACAGGAAATACTAATGATGCAGTAACAGACGGAGGATTGTGTATTTTCAGCACTTTTCAACAAGTTTTTTGAAAAATATGAATTTTTTTTTTTTGTTGTTGATATTTACACATACAAAATCTGTCTACTTCTGCATTTTTTTTTGCACATATTTGTCGCGGGTTATTTGAAGTTTTGACGACCGTATGAGATTCTGACCAAATAGATTCTGGATACAACTGGATGAGAACTGTAATTACTCATTGTTTTCGTGTGTGTGTGTGTTAAATCAAAAATGATGGCTGACACGATGGTTGAAGGAGGACCCTAAACTCATGACGGTCTCATGAACAGCAACCATGGGTGCGAGTCGTGGTCATTAAGTTGCACTTTGCTCCTAAAAAAAATAATACTCGAGCCGGCGTGGAAGAGGACGCATCGACTATGACGTCAGCGGCTGGAAGAAGCTGCCATTCATCTGTGGATTTCTGTTAAAAAGTTGTACAAATGAATGATTTTGCAGAATCTGGGGGCCATGTACATTTTAACTCGCCCTTTGTAGAAATGACATTTTATAACAGTTTATTCACACGTGAAGGTTCTGTACAGTGACCAGATCTACAGGACTGTTTAACTGTAAATAAAAATCACTTACACTCTCGTTGCTGGCGTTTTTATTCTCTTTATAAGAGTACTAACCAATGCAGTTGGGTTTAATAGCCAGACTAGAGTTATGGTTCTTGGCTACGTCTCTGTTGCTCTGTGCTTTAATAACAGTTGAGCAAGTCTTCGTCAGAACAGAACTTCTGTCGACTTCCTCCTTTCCTGTATGTGATTTTTTTTCTCCCAGGATGGCGAATGCTTGACCCTAACCAGTCTTAACTCCTCATACCTAAATCCAACGATGGATGGATGGATGGATGGATGGATGTTTGCTACGTGCTAGCCTTGTCTATGCTGAAAATACAAACAAATTTCGACGTAGCATATTATATATGGATTGTTGAATTTTAAATTAGTACTGTGAACATGCAAGAGGCATTTTTGTAGCTACTTTCTTATTAACGATAATTAATTGTAGCACTAACATTCCAGGAAATGTACCAACACACCCACAAAAAGCAGTGAAAAGGGCGCCCGGTGAGCTCAGTGGGTAGAGCTGGCGACCCATGTACCGAGGCTGAGTCCTTGCTGCAGCAGCCCAGGGTTCTAATCCGGCCCTTTGCTGCGTGTCAACCCCTCTCTCTGCCCCCCTTTCCTGTCCATCTTCAGCTTTCACTGTCATAAAGGCAATAAAAGCCCCAAAAAAATACCGTGAAAAAAGAATGCAAGAGAGAAAACATGGTTGTAAACACTGCAAGATTTTAAATATTTTTTTAAAGTATCAACTTAGCAAATGTTTTGCAGAAAGAAACACATTCAGTATTTTTAGATGGTTTTAAATGGAGGAGGCCAAGTTATGCATCTGTAGATTAGCCAGTGTCACACTACTTGTGAAGAACATGTCAGTAGGTCGCTCAAATAGACTCGATAATAATATGACTATTTAATGGACCAATAAAGCCTTTTTAAAGAAACCTGTTTTCTGATGTGAGCACCAAAGTCTCTCTTCCTAATAACACGGCACACAGAGCTCCAGTTCACTGTTAAAAAAATAATTTATTGCAGCATGGAATTTTAATTTGAAATATTGATAGTTTTCCTATCAATAATACATGTTTGCATCCACTTCAATCCAACAAGAGCATTTAACAAGACGGTGACATCTGACAACGGGACACCTCTCAGGTTTATTTCTCACAGCTAATAACACTGATACACATTTACCTGACACACAAACAACCACTGTTTCCCTCCACCACAGTTATGTTGACAAAATGAAATATTTTGTACACAAAAAAAAAGAACATTATTTTCTACACTGAACAAACACTAGTTTGGTTGAATACAGAACAGTGTTTTAGGAATACAGTTGAGAAAATAGTGGACATATAAAACTGAAGTTGCATCCAGTGGTTTTGCTGCACAGTGAAATCTGAACCTCCACTGCTGTAATGGACATAAAGTATTTCATTAATTTACCTATTAAAGTCACCTCAGGTTTCAGAAGCATTACGCTCACAGTGTTAAAAAGGAAAACTCCACCCCAAAACACTTACATGCTCAACTAAAACAGCTAGTGGTGATTAGAGCTGCAACAATTAGCCGATTCGTGGATTAATCTATCTTTGTAAATCACAAACATACGTCACACTGCTAAATTGCAGATTCCTGTACAGCTCTTCACTCATTTATTTAAGCATTCGGCCATATTGCACATATTGTCTCTTTTCCATTTGTATATATTGTCTCTATTTGTATGTTTCTATGTTTAACTGTTGTTCTGCACCAACTTACCAAGGCAAATTCCTTGTATGTATAAACCTGCTTAAAGCAGATTCTGATTAGTTGTTAACTATTAAATCAATCACTAACTACTTTGATAATCAATTAATCACTTTTTTTAAAAGAAAATTTCCAAATTCTCTGATTTCAGCATTAAAATGTGAATATGTTTTGTTTTCTTTTTTCCTCTATGACAGCAAACTAAATATCTTTTGGTTGAAGACAAAATAAGACATTTGAAGACATCACATTGGGCGACAGTGATCAACATTTTCACCATTTTCTGGACAAACAAATAATCGATTAATTGAGGAAATTAGACAGTAAGTTGCAGACCTGGTGGTGATGTAGTGTTTGTTGCATTTCTGACACAACTGTTTTTGCTGTAGATAATTAAGCAGTCACAGCTCACATTATCATTAACAATGGACGTAGTCTCTGTGACGTCAGTCGTTGAGAAGCTCTTTGTCGGCTCTGGTCGTCGCCATCTTGGCAGTCCTGACTCTGCCGGCTCCCATTAAATAAGTAAAAATTAACAAATAAGCAGAGGGTGGAGCTGAGGCGGGCTGAATGAAGCCTGGTTACTGAAAACAGACATCTGTCTTCACTTATGCATAACTTTAAATTATAAAATAAATAATATAGCCCCGGCTAAAGCATACCCTGCTTTATTGTCTATTTTACTCTAAATTACACCTTTATTTACTAAATGAACATCATGCTGTATGGATGGTCAGTGGTAACTAACTTTTTTTGGGGGGGTAACTAATATACTGCCCAACACTGCAATTGAAACATACAAAATGGCGGAAGGTAAGTACAGTGCACTACGTAATAAATGTGGAGTGATTTTGGACACAGATTAAATTCAGTTACAGCACAGTTTTCACAAAGTAGCTGCTGGAAAATGTTCAGACTCTTGAGGGTGGATTTTTCCTTTAACATCACTGCTTGTTTAGTTTTGTGTTTCTACCCTGTGTCTACTGTGTGTCAGGTCAGCCTTTTGACATTAGGCTTGGTTCCTCTACTAACATATCCTACGTACAGTATGTGCAGCAGTGGTGTTCGCTCTCTGCCTCGGGCCCGTACAGCTCAGATGGAAACAGGACAGGTGAGGATGCGATCCTCCAGCATGACGCTGAGGACGAGGAACACAAAGTACAGTGCGAACATGGTGAGGCCCAACATTCGGCTCATCTTCCAGCGACAGGCGGCAATGGAGATGATAACGAAGAGCAGCATGAGGAAGAGCAGCACGATGGCGCAGAACAGGCCGTTGGAGCTGACGGCTACCGGCTCGCCGTTGTGTAAGAGAGTGTAAATGAGCCACGGGACTGGGAGACTAAAACCAAAGAGGACAGTTTCTGTCAGGTTTACATAGTTTCTCACATTTTAGGAATGGGAATATTAGGGGTACAAAAGATCACAAAACTCAAGGTTCAGATCGTATCAAGGTTTGGATTGTTTCATGGTTTTTGGTTTAATAGTTTATCAACACTGCAGAATATGGATAACTGCCATTTAGACAGCAGTGGACGTTCCTCAGGGTTTGATTTTAAGTCCAATACCTTTTTACTTTGTACATGCTTAGGCATAGTTACAGAATAACGTAAAAATATATTTTGTTTTCTATGCAGATGATACTCAGCTGTATCTGGTAGTTAAACCAAATGTCGGTGCTTCGCCTCTTAATGCCATATTTGGCTGAAAGTACAAATAATGTGGTTCAGTAATGTTTTCTTCAACTAAGAAATGACCAAAAAATGTAAAATTATCTTTAAGTTACAGAAAGATTATTGCGGTCACTCACCCGATGGTGATGTCGAAGATGTTACTGCCTACTGAGCTGGACACAGCCATGTCCCCCAGACCTTTCCGGGCCACAATCACACTGGTGATCAGGTCAGGGATGGATGTCCCGGCAGCCAGGATGGTCAGGCCCATGATTTCCTCTGAGATGCCCACAGTCTCACCCACCTGTACACAAGAAAAGAAAGAAAACAGTTTTCTTACACAATGTGTGTTACCACTACAACATAGTATGTAAACTATTAGCCTGTACATAGGTATGTACATGTGTCTCTATTTTCTTTGTACAAAAAAGAATCCAGGGGCTTATTGGTATTTATTTTGAATATTCATACATGAAATAAAATCAGATAGTCCATAGATCGTCTTGTTGTTACTGTGTGTTTGCCAGACAACTATCAGAGACTCCAGAAAGTCCTCCATAAACTACAATGGATTGTTACATGTTGTTACATGTTTACATTTAAACATGTACATTGCAAGATATAACTTAATCCATGACATTTAGAGGTGCTGGTAGGCAGACTATGTTACTCTTTGACAAAACCAGACTAGCGGTTTCCCCCTGTAACCATACCTTATGCTAAGCTAAGCAGCTGCAGCTTCATATTTACCGCTCATACATGAGTGGTATCGATCTTGTTATCTCACATTTGGCAAGAAAGCAAATAAGTCAATATCCCAAAATGTTGAACTTTTCCTTTAAGTGCTGGAGTTGCAATCACAATAATTAACGTAAATTCAACCGATACTTGTGAAATCTGCACAACCTTGCAATTTCATCTGATCACAACTGTTGGCCCCAACTGGCAAAATGGGACAACTACTAGTAATTTTATTTCAACTGGAACAAGTTGCCTCCTATTTTTAAAGAAAAATAATAATCACATAGAATATAATCAATAATAATTAATAATAATAAATAATAATTAATATACAAAATTAACATCTAACTAAACAAGGAAATAATTTTTTAACAAATATAATTTTACAATATTCACCAAAACTACCTAAATACCGTTTCAACAAATATCTGTCGCAATCTTCGAAAAGCCTGCTGCATTTTTTAGGCCTCAACAATCCCCAAAAAACCTGCAAAATCTTGGTCCAACTTGTATGTGATGTGATTGGTAAAACACACCTACAACAATACAAACACTGTTGTAGTGCTTCAATTACTTAACATCACCTTTCACAACACATATCTACTGAGAGAGAATGTTTTCCTAGTTCAGAACTGTCTACAAGTTACTGTCTACGTAAGTGAGTAATTGTTTAAAACACCAGCGTGTAGGATTTAGTGGCATCTTTTTGAAGACCTGGAATTCCATTTTTGCCAATTAGATTCCTTCAAAAATGTTACACTGGACCTTTAAACTATTAGATATGAACCTATCATTTTCATACACTAGTGTCCCAGTGGATGTAAACTTCGAACCAACCTGATGAGCCCACCACACCATCATGTAGGAGAAGACTCCGATCCACAGGATGGAGCCGATAAACGTTATGACAAAATACTTCCTGGAAGCCTGAAAAATACAAAAACACATTTCAGATCTGGTGTTCAGAGAAACTGCTGCAGAACATTATGACGACTTGTAAACATCTGGAATTTGAATCCAGGTGAATCTGAATCTTTCTTATAGATCTTTGATTGATAGATCTTCAC